CTGTATCCTAAGCCTGTCTTCTGGAGTGTTGGCTATTCCTGCCAGCTTGGTGTCGTCTGCAAATTTGATGAGTTCCCCATCTATCCCCTCGTCCAGATCGTTGATGAAGATGTTGAAGAGCACTGGGCCCAGAACAGAGCCCTGGGGCACCTCACTACACACTTCCCTCCATGTAGATGCGGTTCCATTGAGGACCACAGGCTGAGTATGGCCGGTCAGCCAGCTACGGATCCATCTGGTGGTGATACTGTCTAACCCGCATTTTTCTATCTTATCAAGTAGTAGGTTGTGGTCTACTTTGTCAAATGCCTTACTGAAGTCCAAGTAAATTATATCCACAGCATTCCTCCGGTCCACTAATTTTGTCACTTGGTCAAAGAATGCAGTAAATAGCACCTACTTAATAAGTAATATTGTTTTCTGCTATGGCCTCTGCTTTATGGAACATTCTTCCCTCTGAAGTAAGACTACCCTTATCCCTTTTACAAAGACACCAATATTGTAAAATATTGAGTTGGTGCCACTGTCCTTAAAAACTGCTCTTTGCCTAATATAGATATATATATTTATTTTTGTGCCTTTTACGATGTTAGAGTGTTTAATAATATTAACATTTGCTGCATGTGTTGTTTTAGCTTTGTTTGAATGCCGTCCAAAGTCACATGTCTATGAGATGGGCAGACATATAACTATCACAGAATAAATGAGATCAGAAATTCTACAATTCCTCACTATCACATATAAGAACATTATTGTGATAAACAAGATATACAAAATAGCACCTTATTATATGAGTTTTTTCCCCCCATTCATTCTTATCCCCTTTTCTGCCTTTCTTCTAATAATTAAAACTGTGAAATTCTGGGAATCTCCTGTTTCCTTATATTGCCCTATACAATTCTAAGGATCGTTTTGAAATACCTTGTATGGTATCTTTGTGAAACACGTAAGTGTATATTTTGTTATCGTCGTAGACAACAAATACACCCTTGTCCAGTGGCCAGTTTTCCCACAGAATGCCTTTGATGGTCGGTTGCAAATTTGGTATTTCAAAGGCAGTGTCGGTCACCTACAAAGAGAGCAACGCAAAATTAGCTTGTAAATAAAGCCAACCAGAAAAGTTTCACGTTATGTGCTGCGTGACGACTTTTGGAAGAACGAGATGGGTATATAGCTCTCCTTTCTGAATTCACCCACTGAAAAGATGCTTGTCAAAGAATTAGGAAAATATTAGTCTCAGTTTACAGCGCTAAATAAAAACACCCTGGTCGCAAGGCCCACAGAAACCACAAACATTGATAACACAGATAAAACAAGGTTGCTTTACTTTACATTCCTGTAACTTTCCGTTGTTGATCTCAAATGGGCATTTCCGTATTGTGTAGCTACATTACCTGTATAAACGGATGTATTCTATCCGAAGTGTGTTTTAACCTTACATATAGTAAACCACGATATTTAACCATGATATTAACTCTTCCTTTTCTCTATTTTCATGGGCATCTACGTCATAGTTATTTTGATGCATTGTCTACATCAGGGGCTCCCGACCTTTTCTATACCCTGCGCCCCTAGAACGCTTCTGATATATTCTCGCACCCATTACTTACAAAAGTTCGAAATAACGGCAACAAATTATGCGTATACACTACCATTTTGAAAACCCAGGTTTTTGCACCCCCTGGAATATCGTCTCGTGCCTCTGGTTGGGAACCCCTGATCTACATAAATATCTAAAGAATCATTAAAAGCTTAATATCAGTTTCGCATGTACAGTAGTGGCCAAAATTGTGGAAACCTTTTGGGAAAAGTATATTTTTGAGGTTTGATGGCTAATAACACCACTTTTTTTTAGAGTAGTACCATAAAATTTTATATCAATGGAAAGATAATTTAATCAAGAATGTCATGCAACATAGTTTGTTCAATTATCTATACTGTATTCCATGAAAAGTTATAGCCAAATCACCAGAAAAAGGAAGCACAACTTGCTTAGGTTGATCTCAGGTAGCTTTCCTTCATCTGATTGTAGCCAATGAGCGTGAGTGTTTAGAGAGCCAATCAGGTGTCATCTTGTTTTGGCCATGAGCCAAGATGCCTCCCACCGGCCGATACGCTCCCACAGAGAGGCCCTCCTCAGGGTGCCGTCAACCAGACAGTGTCGGCTGGCGACCCCCAGGGGGAGAGCCTTCTCTGTGGGAGCACCCACCCTCTGGAACGAGCTGCCCCCAGAGATCCGGGTGATTCCGGATCTCCCCTCCTTTCGCCGCGCCCTTAAGACTTGGTTATTTCAG